ATCATATTAACAAACCAGAGATAAAAACCACATGATAATCTCAATAAATGCAGAAAAAGCATTTGGCAAAGTCCAACACTCATTTATGATAAAAACCCTAAAGAAAATTGGAATAGATGGTCCTTACCTCAATCTGATAAAAGCCATCTATGACAAACTTTTGATGATATCATATTAAAACATAAAAAACTGAGAGCTTTCACTTTAAAATCAGAAATAAGACAAGGATGTCCATTATCACCACTCTTATTCAATATAGTTCTGGAAACATTAGCTTGAGTAATTATATTAGAATAAGAAATAAAAGGATGTAAATGGGTGCAATCAGAGACCATACTCATAGTGAAACAAATCAGACCCTCATGTGAAAACATCATAATGACTCCTAAGGTAAGAACCTGAAAGAGTAAATAAAATCTGAAAGGTACAAAAAAAAAAGAAATAAAAGGGACAAGGATAGGAAATGAAGAAGTTAAATTATCATTATTTGTGGATGACATGATACTGTACATAGAAAAACCCCAAAAACTCTATGAAAATACTTCTAGATTTAATACCCAAACTCAATAGTATAGCAGGATACAAAGTTAACACTCACACATCAATAGCATTCCTGTACATAAGGAACAAACTCACAGAAAGAGTAATTAGGGAAAGCATACCCTTTATGATATCATCCAAAACATGAAATACTTAGGAATCAATATAATGATGGATGTAACAGATCTGTACAATGAAAATTATAGTACCCTAAAAAGAGGAGATCAAGGAGAGTATCAGAAAATGGAAATATAATCCTTGTTCTTGGATAGGAAGAACCAACATAGTGAAAATGACCATACTCCTCAAAACTAGTATGTAAATATAATGCAATTCCAATGAAAATACCACTAACATACCTCACAAACCTAGGGAAAATACTCCTGAAATTCATTTGGAATCAGAAAAGCCTTAAGATAGCAAAAGCCATTGTGGACAACAAAAGCAAAATAGGGGCATCACAATCCTAGACCTGAAATTATGCTACAAAGCTACTGTGTTAAAATCAACACGTATTGTCAAATAAGAGGCTGAGGATCAGTGGAACAGAGTAGAAGATGCAGATGCATTCCAAAACACACTCAGCCACAATATGTTTCATGAGGAAACCAAACATGTTCAGTGGAAGAAAGATACCTTTTTAACAAGGAGTGCTGGAAAAATTGGCTTCCACATTCAGAAGACTAAAGCTAGATCCATATCTATCATCATGAACTACACTAAAGTCAAAATGGATCAGAAATCTACACATTAAAATAGAAACACTAAATTTACTGAAAGAGAAACTAGGTAGAAGTCTCAGAGACACAGATGTAGGCCGACTTCATGAACAAAACCCAGAGTACAAGGGAAATGGTACAAAGAATTGAACAAATGAGATCTCACCTTACTAAAAATATTCTGCACAACAAAAGAAATCACCAACAAAGTGAAAAGACAACCCACAGAGATGGACATTTGGATTGTTTCCAAGATTTTTTTTTTTTTTTTTGTGGAACCGGGGATTGAACTCAGACCCTCACGCTTGCCCAGGGAAGCGCTTATCCTACTGAGCTGTCTCCCGGCTCCTCCAAGATTTATCTATTGCAAATTGTGCTGCTATAAACATGGGTGTACATATGCCATTATTGTATAAAGTTTTTAATTATTCTGGGAAGATATCCAGAAGGGGAATATATGGTTCTAATAGGATTTCTAATCTTATTAGGAAAATGGGGGGGGGGGAATTATAGCCAGTTGTCCCATAGGCAAAGGACTTGTATCCAGAACATAATAAAGAATTGAAAAAATTACACTCCCAAAATTCAAAGACCTTATCCAAAAGTGGGCATTAGAGATGGATAGGGCGCTTCTCAGATGAGGAACTACAAATAGCAAATAAGTTCATGGGAAAATGTTCGGCATCACTGGTCATTCAAGAAATACAAATTAAAACAACACTGAGATTCCATCTCACTCCAAAAAGAATGACTATCATCAAAAAAAAATCAACTGATAACAAATGCTGACAGGGCTGTGGAGAAAGAGGAATCCTTCTCCACTATTGGTAGGAATGTGGAATAATACAACCACTCTTTGAATCAGTGGAGTAGGATTAGAGGTCCCATTCAGCACAGTTGTTCCCCTTCTGAGTGTCTTCCAAGAGAATCAAAAACTTCATACTGCAGTGATATATGTGCCCCCATGTTTATAATAGCAAAACTTGCAATACCTGAATCTTGGAAAGTGTCCAAGTCCATCAACCAAAGAATGGATTAAAAAGATGTGGTTTTTCTATATAATGGAGTACAACTCAGCCATAAAGAAGGATAAAAAGGAGTCTTTTGTAAGCAAATGGATGCAACTGGAGACCATATTTATGTGACCCATGACTGTTCTCTGAGAGAAAGATGATACCTAACTCCACCTGAGACATCAGCATGAAGTTCTGAAAATACTCCTCCCAGAGACATAAAGACTCACCTCTTGGCCTGACATTAACCATGCCACTCACCACACCCCCTATTGCTGTCAAATGTTGTGGGAAGCACAAATAGACATCCAACCACACATCAGCCTGGTAGACTGTTAATCACCTTGGAAGATCTCCCTGCTGTCAACCATGCAGCCATCACCTTACATTCTGCAATTCCCAACCCATTCACCCTTTATAGACTGTTCCAGAAGTTTCAAAACTGCAAAATGTTTATAGGCTGTCAAACTACAGAAATACACCTCTCCTGTCTATAAAACCAGTTGAAGAACTCCGAGCTGCCAATGCTACCACAATTGCCCCTCTGTATATGTTGCCTCAGTTTTCTGTCACCCACAGCTTGAAGGTGTACCTGCCTGGACCTAAAGAATACCTTCACCTGTCTCTGGTTGGCTCCTGATCAAGCCTCTCGTCACAAAGATCCAAGTTCTGAACTCAAAGTTCAGCTAACCTGGACGCAACCTCTTGGAAGTTGAAAACTTCTTTACCCTCTTTAGAGAAGATTACTGTACTTCTGATTGATGACACCCAAGTTGCCTACTGAAAAGACACAAAAACTCTGCTGCAATATCTGGCAGAAACTGGTTACAAGAAAAAAAAATCTGCAAATTTCTTGGAGCTGTTCAATTCTTGGTATCAAAAAAAAAATTCTTGGAGCTGTTGACTTCTATAAAATCTGGATCTTTGAGTTCACAAAAACAATGTTGCTTACTCAGACTGTCAGCCTCTGGGAGCTCTCAGGTAATTGTGCCTGTTGCAGTTCCAGTTGCTTTCATCTCCTAGAAACAGTTGGTCACTGTGATTCATAGCAGGTCACTATGATATATATTGTAAGAACCAATCCCAAACTGACTAGCTATTCTGCCTCCATACTCCCTGCTGGCTTATCCCATATAAGCCCTAGACCACCAGACATCAGGGACTGAGATTCTGGAAATGATACCCATCAGTGTTCATAGATGTAAATAAATTTGCCTCTAGATCCTGGGTGCTGTTTCAGTGTTTCTGTTTGCCATTGCAGTTGAAGCAGTTAGAGTTCCAGAGAAAGCAGCAGTAAATACTAGGGCAGTCTGTCTAAATGACATAAAAAGGGGGCTATAGCATCCATCAGTGCACAGCAAGACATACATCCACCTAGAACATCAGCCTTGGGCAGGGCAGGTAGTAGAGTGTTCACAGGGCTTAAAGAATTTGGTTCAGGGTAGAAGCTAGTTCTTACATGTTCAGGATTAACTTCTCTGTTTTCAAGCAACAGTTTAAACAAGTTTATCAGTTCCAGAGAAAGTTCAAGGCCTCAACTGCGTACAATTCTGCAGGGGAAAATGTGCAGCTGGCTGGGCCCCAGAGTAATCAAGGCACTCTGAGTTTCTCAGTCAGACACAAGGAAAGTGGCAGAATGGGAAATCCCACAGAACAGAAGACTAGGAAGAAAGGATAGTGCACACCCAATGATTAGATAGAATTACCTACCTACCCCTCCTATTCCTCTGAGTTCTGGCTGAAAGTGAAACCAGGAAGCCTTTTCCTAATTAAAAACTAAACAAAATCATCCACAGAGAAGATGACTGACTTTTTTCATGGACTTAGAACTACTGGGAAGCGCTGTGCACCTTTTCCTTTATGGAGCATCTCTGAGCTGTCTGGAGTCCAACAACTGATGTAACAATAGCCAAGTCATCTCCATCACCACCACCCTGTCATGAGAATTGACACTGCGTGTGTACATTATTCTCAGCCATATCCACTGATCTTATCCAGTCCTCTTGACAATTCCATTTGGGATGACTTTATTATCCTAATTTTAGAGATACTGAAACTGAGATGCAGAAAGGTCTATAAGTTACCCATGTTCACACTATGAGCAGTGTGGCAAGAGGCAAATGGAAACAAATCTGAGTTCAGATGGTCATTGTTTGAGCCACTCTACCATCCCCTGTACTACTTCACAGGCACAGCCTGTGTATCAACAAGGCTGTGTCTTATATTAAGCACTGCTTTGGGTGGTAGCCTGAAAGCAAGGGGAACTGTCATATCCAACTCTCTGTTAATACTCTGGGTCAATGAACTTTCCCAGGAAAATATGTATTTCTGCTACAGCAGCTGCTGACCCCGTATTTCCAGAATCCCTCTAATTGCTGACTGTTCCACATGGACAATCACCTTTCCATGCAATCCTTTCCCTTCAGATGCCAAACTCTTCCTTCCCAAACTATTTTTTTGCTCCTCTTTTCAAGAATACCTTTGAAGATAAATAAAACCTGTCATCCCAGTCTCTCCATTACTGTAGAGCCCTCTCATCCCTGAGAAAGAGCTGAACCCTGGTTCCACCCTGGTTAAATGGTGCCCAGTCAACCTCCCTGCATCGGTCAGGTTCATGTGCCCCAGCTCCCCCACATGCCACCATTACTTCAGCATCTTCATTCTTGCCACAAAGCACCCATCCCACAAAAGTGCTATACACAAAAGAGATTGAGACTGATTGAGAATTTCAAATGCAGTTTATTGCAGCAAAACAAGAAAATGGGGAGTTGAATACCTCTCCATGAAAGACAAACAACTTGCAAACACCTTATATACAAAACCAAAGCAGTACAGAGACAAGAGGCTGAGGGACTGGCCAGAGTACTGCTCTAAGCCCTGGCTCCAGTGGTCCTCCTCTGGGTGGAAGAAGGAGGCTCTTTGAAATGTCATTTGTGTCATGGTCACTGCTGAACTGTTTTTCAGGCAAGGCACAAAGCAGGGTGGTAGCCAGAGATTGAGACTGCTGCTGGCCTTAAAAGTTTTGAAAGCAGAGCAGAAAAGAAACAGCAGGGGCAAATGGATGAACTGGTGACTCTAACGATAGCTCTTTTCTCTAACAAGGCTAGGGCAACTGACCTTAGTCCTACCAAGCCTATTTGGTGGTGATGGAAAGGGGAGAGCTAAAGGGATAGAGAGCGAATTTATCTGGAATAAGTGGTGGAAACAAACTTTACGCTAGAGCTGCCACTAGAGGACTTCTGGCCCCCAGAGCTGGATCCCCGACCTCCAGAGGAGCCATAGCTGCCTCCGGAGCTCCCCCGGCCACCAGAGCTGCCACCACCACCTCCAGAGCCGCCTCTGTGGCCCCCGCTGCTGCCTCCAGAGTAGCTGCCGCCGCCGCCGCCGCCGCCTCCAGAGCCATAGCCACCACCATAGCTACTGCCGCCGCCTCCGCCGCCTCCAGAGCCGTAACTGCCGCCTCCGGAGCTGTACCCTCCGCCGCCTCGGCCGCCACCGCTGCTTCCACTGATGCTAGTGTGGCTGGTGCTCACAGCTGCAGGAAGAGACTCGGTTACCTTCAATTCTACCCCCTTTCCAGCCCATCAGAATCCGACTGTGCCCCTGAGAAATAAGCTTGTACTTACACACGCTCACGTTGGGGGAACACTCTCCAGACATCCTGTAGAATTAAAAAAAATTCCTCAGAATACTGCTGCCTCATACTGCTCCCTTACACCCTCTCAGCTACCTCCAAGACTCTCCCAGCTGAGGAACCCACAATCCTCTCCATCTGAAACCTAGCAGGCCCTCTAGCTTCCCAAAACACTATCATCTGTCCCGGCCTGAGTAGAGTTAGAGAAATCGCCACATACATTAGACAAGAGCTGTTAAAGCCCACCTCTAGAGATGACATGTGAGCCAGGCTAAATAAAAGATGTCTTCCTTCATCTCAAACATAGGAATGTTACAGTGTGAGGAAAGGAAGGAGGAAGGAGGGAGGGAGGAGAGA